AGCTCTTGAATTTTCTGAAGGGCTCTTGTAGGCAGGTCCTCCTTCCACTCCTCCAGAGCCCAACTCATTGTGTCTTCAATGCTTTACAAAGAACTGTAAAGAAAAATCAGCTTTTTGGTTATGCTACAGTAAGAGAAAGGAAGCTCAGGTGGTGTACTCCATAGAGAGCGCTGAGCTGCTCCAACAACTGAATCCACCAGTGGTTCTGTGGGAGAAAAAGGAGAAACCTCTTCCTGTAGAGTTTACTGCTTCCGAAAATCCAATGGAAACTCAGCTATGAATTGATCCCAACTAACTAAATAGCAATGAGACTAGTAAGAAAAAATTGAAAGTTTCACAGCCTAAAAACTAACGGTCTACCCCGCTGCCAAACTTTGCACTTAAAGAAGCTATCTGGTGAGTTTCCTCTCATACTCTGGTTGTCTTATTTTTCACTTTTGACATCTCATATGGCTTATGACACAAAACATGCATCTTTTGCTGTAAGGTTTCACGTGAGCTGGGTTCATAAAATAAACTGCATGAAATCTCATTTTGCACATTTCTTTCACCTCTTCACATTGTTACTCCTCCTATCTCTCCTTTCGGGAAGCTTTCCCCGCTAAGAGTCACTGTCAGTATCTCTTAAGGCACTGATGCCCTTTTCGCCTCCCAAGTTATTGTTAGCTTAATGCATAAATGAATAAGTGAACAAGGAGTAGATGCTGTATTTGTACCTGTTCGAACCAGTGCAAAAAGCAGTCAGGTCAGATGCCAGGCCAACGTTGACTAGGAAACAGGTATAGAGCCTATTTCACCTAACTCATTGCAGACCAGTCAGTTTTGACTCATCACTATCTGAGGCTGTAAATCGAATGTGAGGAAATTGGCCCTCTTTCTCCTGCAGAGCTGTTGCTGGACTGGTACAGGACCAGCCTTCAAGTTCCCTACAACCACGCCAAAAGGGCTAGATTCAAATCCCAGCTCAGTTAATTACAAGATAAGTGACTGTAGGCAAGTTATTCAACTGCTTTGTGCCTCTGTATCCTTATTTGCAAAATAGGGATGTCAATGGCAGTGCATTCCTAAAATATCAAAATGAAGTGACTAAAAATTAATTAATTTAAAAATTGTTATTGACTGCCTTCCAGTCGAGCATGACTCATGAACAAAAGGCCTGAAGCCCCTCTACAACTATCGATATTTATCAACGTTCATAGTGTTTCTGGAGGCATTACTCTAAATAATTAATACGGCTCTCAGCTGGATGCTGCTGTGTCAGCACGCGGGAGCCCGGGTTCGAACTCGAAATAAACTTTGTTAATTCGGCTAAAAAAAAAAAAAATAATTACAACCTTGAGACAGTATCATCTGATAAGCCCACTACATATGCTGTTAACCTTGTAAACATTTACTTCTTTCAGTCTACAGTAGAGTGAGGTACCCCGTTTCATTCTCAGCCACATCTTGAGGGGGGGATCACCTGAGAAGAGTATGAACCTTTGTTCCTTTATTCATGGCCTTTAGAACTTAATTTCATTAACTAATCTTAAACCTGTTTTCAAAACAACTGAAAACTGATTTTTCTTTCACTTGTTCTAAAAGCCCATAAATAAGGAACAAAGTCTTGAAAAGGTGAGAGATGTCAGAGAAATTAGAAGACTATCAAATGAAACGTTTTTCCCACGTCCAAGTCTGAATCAGCTATACAGAAACGGTTTAAAAAAAAAAAATAGTCAACAGACCCAAACTACATGAGAATGGAGCTAATTGAGAGACACACCAAGGCAGCAACGAGCTATTAACCTTTACATGAATCCAGTGGGGGGGAAAGGAGGGGGGAATTAAATAGCCGCCGGTATGAAGTTCGCCGACAAAGATTTGCAGGTCAACTGGCTTCTAGAAAATGCTGCACCTGGTATCTTCAGGCACGAATCACCCCTTCCCTCGAACTCCCCTCGGGTAGTCGGTCACTTTGTGAAACCCGCCCACCCCACGACGGGCTGCGGCGTCTTGAAGCTCCACCACCACCACCATCCCGCCCCATGAAAATTCGACTTTCTCAAAAAAACCCCAAGAAAACCCGAGCCCTGCCTACGGGGCCACAAGTGGTCCTCACCGCGCTAAGCCCGTGTGACCTCCAGATCAGGCTCAAAGGACAGGGCTTGTCACTTGCTTCCGAGCCCTTAGCCGCTAGAACGCAGGCGGACCCACAGAAGCGTCCGTACAAACGAAGAAACGAGAAAAAGCCTTCGTAGTTAACAAGAGCCTGGCCACACCGCCCGGTGAAAACCCAAACTTGAACTCCTAGTCCGAATTTGCAAAGAAGAGACACTGGCTTGTGGAGCTAAGCAGAAGCGAGAATTCGTCACCACCCTGTGTCCAGACACAATGACTTGCAAACCCCCCCACCCCCACCCCACCCCGGTACCTGCAGCAAAGAGGCGGAGGCGTCCGCGGAACCTCAGCCGCCGCCGCTTCGGCGGGAAGCCGAAGGCCCTCTCAAGCCGAACCCCGTAGCAGACGCTCACCTCGCTCCGCGAACGCAAAACGCACGCCCCTCTGAGAGCGCGGTACCAGAGCGGCGTCCAAAACAGCGTTCAGCAGCAGATTCAAA